CAGGTAATTGAGGAGATTGAGGAAATGATGCAGAACTCGCCAGACCCTGAGGAGGAAGAGGAGGTTCTGGAAGAGGAGGATGGGGGTGAAACCTCTTCCCAGGCGGACTCAGTCCTCCTGCAGGAGATGCAGGCCTTGACCCAGACCTTCAACAACAACTGGTCCTACGAAGGTGAGGGCCGTGGGGGCCTCTGTTCTGCCAGGCACTGGGCTCATGCTTCACATGTAGCTGATAGAACCTCGCATCCAGGGAGCTGGCAACACCTTTCTTACTGGGCATCAGGACAGACGTTAGCATTTTTTATGGGGGAAAAAAAGGCAGTCGAACAAGATTAAAATGGTAAAACTAACCAAAGAACAAGACTAAGGCAGACTAAGTAGAAGACTTCTGAAGCCACTATTCAAAACGATGCTACCAATAAAATTAATGAAAAAACCTTCAAAAAGTAATAATAATAATAATAATAATAATAATAATAATAGCTCATATTATTTTTGGAGAGCTTGCTATGTGCCAGACCCCGTTCTAAGATTTTCTTTGCATATTCTCATTTCATTCCCACACCAACCCCATTAGGGTTGAGCTGAGTATTTTGAAAGGTTAAGTGACTGGTTCCAGGCCACGGTTGTGAAAATATAATTTAAAACAAAATCTTCTCACCCAGAAAACATCTCTACAGAATTAGAAGAGAAAGAAAACAATTTTATTATTGAAAAAGCATGAAGCCAGAATGTGATGCACAGCACAGGCAACCCAATAAAGGGACTGCAGCACCGGAAAGAAAACTTACTCTTGACTAGAGCTAAGTGAATACAGCCATTGCATTAAGCAGGTTTTACAATTGGGAGTCAGGTGACAAGTTAGGCCCGCTATCTTTCTTCAGGATTACTATTGAAAGCAGTGACTCCCTGGTCCTCGAGGAAACATTCCTGAGTCCTACAACCAGCAAGAGGCTTATTTACCTATTAAAATGACTGACACCCATGTGAAAAGGACAGAGAAAGAAATTCTGGAAGGAAAGGAAGGTGACGAAGGTGACGGAGAGGAAACGTCTCCTCCCTTATTTTCAACCTGGAGAACCCAGCTTTTTATTTTACATTTGCNTCCCCCAATTCCCCAATAAAATCTTTAAAAAAAAAAAAGACTATGTGAAACTTTACTCAGAGGCCCATCATTAAAGAAAAGGCCTTGGTCTTTTATTAGGAGCTTGGTGAAAAAATAAATGTACATTTATACTTTCAGGTCAAAATAATATGCTTGAGCTATGTATGTATGTATTATTACTCACAGGTTTCCACTTTCGTTGGGTTTTTCAATTAATTAACCCATTCTGTACCTGACTGTCATATAAAAGATGGTCCCTTTTGTCCCTATAACTTTAATTAGTAGCAGATGGTGGTTGTCTTGGACAGGAGGACATGGAAATCCCAAATGGTAAGTTATGTGTTTCTGTTTTCCAGGTGACTGAACAGCTAAGTTACCTGTGGAGGTGAGACTGAATACAGGCGGTGATTTGTGTTACCTCTCAGTCCTCTCTTTTTCATTTGTTCATTAATTCTTTCAACAAATAGCTGCTGGGCACTTGCTGTTTGCTGTGCTCTATGCATCTTACTGTGGGGAGACAGGGGCATTGTGACTTAACTCACACAGATGTTCCCTGGTTGTTGACAGGCACAAAAAGAATATAGTTGCCTTTTCAACAACAGCAGTGTTTTGGTTTTTTTCCTTTCTATTTTTTGACTGGAAGTGAAAGTTTTTGTTCTCTTAATTTTTGTCAAGAAGTCAGCCACCCATGTGAAATAGTCATATTAATGGGAGGGAAATATCGTGCAGTAGAAATTCCGTTTCCTATAAATGGGATGCTTTAACAAAAGACACTGGTTAATAGTCATATTGAACACAAGGACTCACTGTAGTTTTAAGCCTCATTCAGACTACCGTGCAGCAAGATTAGTAGTGTTACAGGCTCCAGGGAAGGTTCTCTGCATTTATTTTCAAGCTTTAAGCTACCATGTTATAGCCCGAAAAGCACAGTCTTTATCAAAAGCAGGAAAAAGAAACAACTTGCTGAATAGTATGGCCAGACTCTTTTCTGGATCTAGGTTTCTTTTTCTCAATTATGGTAAGAAGTCACTTGGAGGAATGATTTTTCTTGGAAGAGCCATAGTTCACTTTAATAGTGTGGAAACAACTTGCGGTTTTAGTCTACGAAGAAATTTAGCCCAAAGTGACCTGGCCTGCCGATTATTGTTGGCTTTAGCGTTCCCATTTTACCACATTCCTTTTGTCACACAAGAGGCTAATGGAACTCCTTGTG